TTTGCCTTTATATATTTCAAAACATTGGCAAAGAAACTGTACTTTGAATAACGCGGAAGAAGAAGAGAAAAGAAGGAAGAAAGAAGTTGAATGAATATAAGATTAAAAAACCGCCCATCTGATATCGTATTCGTCGTTCGCAACGACGAAGGAAAATCGACTTCGCAAATTATGTTATCCCCTCCTCCCCCCCCCCTTTTCCGTGTATATAGTATATGTATCTAACCTTTTAATAGCAATTTATACGGCCAAGTCGGCGAAAGGGAGAAAAAGGCGAGAGTAGGTTGAAGCTGCTGAAGGAATTTTAAACGTGCGCACTCTTGCAAAGGAAACATCTTCTTTTTTACGACACTGTTGGGTATAATCGGTGTGCAAGAAACGAATTAATCTTTAACTGTATGTATAGTGAGATGGAAAATGCGTCGGCTCTCTTGTGCCTTTCTAAAGTGCCCCGATAAAAAATTTAAATACAAGCTTAGTGGCGGTTCAAAGCTTGGAAAAGCGATGATAAAAATCGTTAATCTTTAAAGAAAATTTAAGAGAATTAAGCGGAGAACGCTGTTTAACACACGTTTAAATAAATAATAGTTCGAATCGCGTTGGTAAATATTTAAGAAATATTTGAGTAGAAAAGATGGATTTAATTTTATCTCCCAATGTACCCGATGTAATTCCTCTCTGGCAACTGGATTCATTTATACATATTTCGAAATGTTAATTTCTATTATCCGCGTTAATAGTTCAATACTCTGAATTTCGTTTATTTATCCGAATTATTCGATTAGGATAAAGTTCGACCACAGGTTTGATCCACTTATCTAAAAGCGGAATCGAGCGAAACTATTATAGGAGAACTCCATTTAAATCTGATAAATTATTCCTCGTATCGATAATAAATCGAAATAATAAATCGAAATAATAATTTTCCAACAATTTTTCTTGAATTGTATTATTCTCTAGATTAGTTTCGACCTTTCGTAAGGTAAAAAAAAAAAAAAAAAAATTGAATCAACATAAGCGCAAAACAAATAGCAATGATATTTTTTTGACCGTCCAGAGGATTGACCTTGATCTTTAGGCGGAGTTGATATAGAAAACACGGCGATGTAATGAAAATGAGTAATAAAAGTCATGAAATGAATATTAAAAGTCATCGATTAAAAAATAATAGAGGCAATTTTCTCCTTCGCGATTCCCCCAAGGGATGCAGCCCACAAGTTGAAGTTAAACTGTTATAACTGTTATGATCTAACCTTTTATAACTCGAAAACTTTTGTAAAATTACAATTTTATTTATTCCCTTATGCTCCATATTAGAAATAGATACTTTTAATCCATGTATTTCGTGATTTATCGTTTAACTTTCGTTCGACTCGACAAATTCAAAATTGTTGATCGATCGATACAAACTCGATACGAGATATTAACGATCCTAGAATTTTTTTCAGAGAAACAGAAGAGAATTCCTCTAAGAAATATATTAAATAACAATTTTAAAAATTTTAATCCATTTTTCTCAGATGATTGAATTCGAAGGAATCAATCGAATGAACAATTAAAAATTTTTTGTTTTGACGGAATATAAATTCAAATAAATAATAAAGTTTCATCAAACTGGATGAAGTTCAATTGTACTTGTCAGTGTTTGCTCTGGAAATAGCGATCTATTCGTAATTCGTTTCACCAGCCACGGAATTTAACACGTTCACTGTGTTGTGTATCCATGTCTTAAGTTCGATCAAGCACGTACATTTTTATCGACACGTACACATGTCGATTCAAATTAAAAATCACAAGATTTTGAAGATATGTAATTTTTGTTATAATTGTGTATAAATTAAAGAATAATATCTTCTCTCGTTCGAAGCTTCTCCTTCGAGAAAATCTATTTCGAATTTCGAAGATTGAACGTCTAATTAGCTAACAAACATTACTCCTTAACATCTTCATATTTCGTAAACAAGAAATAAAATAAGAATTATTTTTTTCCCCATTTAAAAATTATTTCTTAATTCAAAAACTAATAGTAGGAAAAAACGAAAGAAAAAAAGAGATCACTCGATCACTCACCATGTCGCAACTCTCGTTATTGTGTGGCTACGAGGGAGATTTTTCAACCGGTCACCGAACGATGTTTTTCCTCTTTCCTCCGAAAGAGCGTGTGTATGCGTGTATGCGCGCGTGCGATGTGCGGTTTCCGACCGATTCGTTGCACGAGACGAAGAGGAAGAAGAGAGACGGCAGGGAGGAGGAGAGAACAGAGAGGGGGGAAAAAAACGTTCGCGTACTCGAAGAAGGAAGATTGTACGCGAGGTTTGCGGCCTGTTGCTGCGGTGGAACGAGTGTGTACGGGGGTTAGAGATGACACCCTTTATATAGAGGCACCACTCACGGCGCATCCCCCGTAGCCGGCTCGGTCCGACACCGACCGAGACACAGAGACGTGATAGCCTGAGTTATGATTGCCCGTGCCCGTATAACGCGATACCTCTACATTATTTTGATTCAATTACACCCGACGGCAGCACCACCGGCCCACGTAATTCTCCTTTATTATTTACGACACTTGATAAATAATAATCTATTCTATCCTAACCAAAATTTCTTACGTAACAATCGGGTAATAATCGGCCTGCAAAATCGGCCAACAACTTGCCACGAAGTTATCTAGGTTAGGTCGTGGATAAATTATCTATTTTTCTTTCTTTTTCTTTTTTTTTATAAGGAAAAAACTATAATATACAAGTATACGTTAAAAAGAGATTAACATGAGGCATTTTTGAATTTGTTATTAACATTTGATTAATTAATTATTACTATACTTTTTCGATTAATCGTTCTTTTTTTTTTTGGTATTATTAAATCGAAAACAATAATTTTATTTTTTTTCTTTCCTCTCTTGTCCGTTGTTGAGATCTTCAAATTAGTAGATTTGGTAGATTTTAAAATCTGTTCGCCTTCAATTTTTTTAATAAAGTATTTTCGCGATAATTTAATTTAATCTCTCGCCGATGTTGTCATTGATGAAAATTCGAATTGCACATGGACTTTTTCTTTATAAGGTATATTTTTTAATATAAAATATATATTGTTGTAAGAAAAAAATTATTATAGAAAATTTGAATAAAAATTCGTATAAATATGTTACATGCGTATAAGATTATTTATCCTTCATCGTTCGTTGGTTAATTATTTCCGATTATTTCTAGTGAAATTTTAATACAATATCTAGAAGATATCTTTTTGCAGAACATCGAATCTTGATTTCGCGTTTTCTATTAATTCTTCAAATACTTTTATCATTCATTTTCTTAAACAACGAGAAATTGTAAGAAAGATTTATTATTACTAGAATCTAAAAAATTACTTTTATTAAAAAAAAAAAAAAAAAAATCGAAACAAAAATTAAAAGAAAAAATTAATTTTTAATTTTAATTTTTTTTTTGTTTTTTTTTTTTTTTTTAAAAAAAAAAAAAAAAAATCGAAACAAAAATTAAAAGTAAAAATTAATTTTTCATCTCTCTCTCTCTTTCTCTCTCTATATACATACATATATATATTTTTTGTTCAATATTCTTGTCAGAGAAATATTAAATACAAAGTTTGTAATTATAATTTAAACAGACAGAAAAAGAATATAATGTAGTATGTAATAATTTAAGGAACAAAATATTACAGTTCGCGAAAAAAAGTGTGTATTTCTGTTTTTACTTATGGGATTGAACCTTTTCCATGAAAAGGGGGATGAAGTGCAACAGGTAGAGATACTTGTTTTCCAACGGAATCTGGGTCACCTCTTCTTGTGAAACAATCGCGACACAGGTGTGAATACATATATTTCGTTCTTATTCGACTTATATCTTACATGTATAACTAGATATTCCTTAAACCAGATGTGAAAATGTTAAAGGTACGTTTCTAGAAATTAACGAATGTAATACTCAATCCCCAAAACGCATATTGAAATACTTGTTACGCATTTTCTGTAATGTCGATTCGTTTTTTGCTTTAAGAAAAATTTAATATTTAAAAGTAAAGTGCATACGAAATTTCGATAAAAGGGATAACAATCTATTCGATGGAAATAATATTGAATTTTTACGATATATTATATTTAATAATTCATAGAAAAAAATAAATGTTTTCATTCATTTTGATTAATCAGAATTTGATTAATGATTAAGCAATAAAAATATTAAATTTAAAAAATTTAGATCTTTATTCTTAATAATAACATAATATCCACGTATATAAAATGATAATTTTATTCTTGATACGTTCTTTCTTGTACTCCCCTTTATTTACCTCCCACTCACGCAGGTGTATAACGTATATAAGTACAATATAGCACGCTTTATCTTGAGAAATGTTTGTTTCTTTGCTCGTCTACAACCATTGTGTGGCTTTGTGTGCACAAAAAAGCTGAACTGACATCTCTAGAGGTATATAATCCAATGTCAAGCCTACGAATCGGCAGAAAGTGTCCGCGGACTATTCGTTGAAAATCGTTATATTTATGAATGACGTCAATGGCGAACCATAAAAATTAATTAATATTTTTTTTCCAAATTCTCAAATGTTAAGAAATAATCTTTAAGCATTGTTTAATTTAATCGAAAAAATTTATAAAAATTTAAATATATAGAAGAATCAAGTAAAAGAAGAAATGATCATTTTGAAT